CAGTACCAGTGTTATTTCCATGTGCTTGTGAACAATAAACTTGTTAAACTTTTCTTCAGTCTCCATGGTGTTCTGCATATTGGGCTTTTCAGTAACCCATCATGACATTCAGACTTGGAAAACAAAGTACAGCGGTTTGTTTTTACCTTTTTTGGAATCCCTCACAATAGCAACTGATAAGTTCTCTTAGTTTAAAAACAGTTAAACTGTTGGGGGAACATTTCTGATATTTCATACTTTTTTCTTCTCCAGAGGTCTGTTTTTCATAAAGGCTATGCTTTTGTCACTAACTTCAAGGATAGATCTAAAGCCTCCTTGGATGGAGGGGTTGAGTCTGTTCAATATGTTGAATGTCTGCAAGATAGACTAACTTGGCAATGCAGTCTGGATCAAGAAAAAATGTGCAATGAATGTGCAAGATTTCAGATTTCAAATCTGACCAAAAAAAACATGATTGCAATGCTCAGGGTTTCACAAAGTTAACTGCAGTGATAGCTGTGTTCAGAACAGAGTGCAGATCTGGTACCATGCCTTTGCAAGCTAGTGTCTGCCAATGCAGGGCACGGTGGGTCACTAAAAGCTTGGATTGATGGATTTTATCCATGGCACAGCTCCACTCTTTCACATCTTTGCTGTGCCAACTCAACAAGTTAAAATATTTCTTCAGCGGTTGTCCTACCAAAGACCTCCTTGCAGAATAGAAAGTCCTTCAATATGTTTCCTCTCCAGCGATATTGCACCAGCAACCCTCATAACAGCCGGCTATGGTAACTGAATAGGTGCTTGGACGTTTGCTGTTTTCTGGACCTAGCTCCTCCCTGGCCAACGCTATTCGGATACCATTTACAGTGACTGCGGATGCACTTCCAACGTTGCTTAGGCGTCACTTCCCATTTGCAGTATTTAGAACGAGCCATGACTGAACATGAGCGGATATCTAATGCAAGGTAAACACAGCAAACGAAGACCAGTATGCAGAATACAGGTAGAAACCGAGCTACAAATAAAGATACACAATTTGAAACCTGCCACCTCTGAACTTCTTCCACTCTCAGATTTTCCAAAATGATGGTTGATGCTCGTCTAAAAAAGTGGCTGTGTTTGGATTCACAGCATCTCCTTGGTGATGGAGCCAAAAAACCAACAAATCTCAGGTCAACTCAGATCTGATTTCAGCTCCATTTAGAAGCATGTAGTTGGGTTTTCTGTTGGTTCTACATATGTGATGCCATGACGTGAGCTATTTACCTGTTGCAGAGCCATAACTCTGCCCGCCGGCCGTGGGGAGGCTGCCGCTGTTTCCACTTGGTGGTGGTGTCCTGGGACAGGAGCTGGGCATGTTCTAGTGTAGAGCAGTGCTTGTAGAAGCTCTCTGGGGTGGACAGCACCAGCAGGCACACCTTACAGAATATGGAGACCTGCTTGGACTGAACCTGATTCTCCTGACTGAGCCGAAGGAGGTGAGGACGCACTGAGAGGCCGCTGTGCTCAGCCTTCCACACCGCCATCTCCACCTCACTCTGGGCGGCCTTGCAGTGGCCAGCCTGGTGCCAGCAGGGCTTACCCTGACGGATGTGACTGCAGAAGTTAAAGGGGCAGTTTGGGGGAAGGGGGCGGACCTGGCTGTAGATGTGCTTTGAGCTGTCCTCTGACAGGTGATGAACTAGAACCGGCTCCCAGGTGTGAACTGCATCTGCAGAGGAGAAGTCATTCCATCGCTTTGGTGTCAGCTTAGTCGGCCGTCCCAGAAAACAACTTTTGCAGAACTCCATGAATCTCCCAGAAAACCTCTGAAGAATTCTATGGGCTGCATGTTCTGGTGTTTCTGAGACTGGATCAGACTCGATTATGTGTGTGATTAACTCCGTCTTACTGAGACCTTTCTCTCTGAGGAAGTTCCACACTGTGGCCTCTTCAGAGCTTTTGGCATAGGTGCATCCCCTACCTAAGTTATGTCTGCTGCATCCAGATCCCTCAACAAAGTGATCACAGACCTTATAGAGGACTTTAGCTCCAATGGTTCCCCCAGTAGGCCGCTCAGCTATGGACTTCCACTGGTTGGAGGCCTTGTTTTTGGCTAGGAGGAGACTCCGGCCACACTTGTGAATAACGGACTGAACGCTGTAGGTGATTTCATTCACCTGCTTGGAGCATAAATCACAGACAGCCTTCAGATCCAGAGTGGTGAAGAGGGTACCCTGAGGTGCTGCATCGGGTTTCTGCTCAGGTTTGCCGTTGGACTGGAGCAACATGTTACAGAGAAGCTCATGGTCCACTCTGTGTTCCTTTTCAAACATCCACACAGCGGCTTCCTCTTCACTCTTTGCGAATGTTTTTATGTACGGTGCAGCCTTGGCCCTCCTTAAAGAAGCAACAGGCTTCATAT